GAGCGGGCCTAAGCCAGCAGGTCGTTATCTCCTGAGGGGTCCCAGACTGTGAGCGGGCACAGGCCGGGCTGAGGGACCCCCCCCTCCCCACCAGTACACAAATTTTTGTGCACCAGGCCTCTAGTATATATATAAAAGGCTAATATGCAAAGTGTCCCCTCAGGAGTTTGACCAGGAGACTGGGAGTTCGAGCGCTCGCTATGACATGCACTAAGAACCAGGGGGTGGTGTGGAACAAAGGGAGGCCCCGGCCAGCAGCAGGAAGGCCCCGATTGGCCCTGATCACTGTCCAGGCCTAGGGACCCTACCCATGCACAAATTTCATGCACCGGGCCTCTAGCGTGTTTTATATTTTACCAGCTACTCACTGCTTTCTTAGGCCCTAACTATACTTATATATCTATTTATAATTTTTTAAAATAACAGACTTTTTAGACCAATGTTATGTTTACAGAAAAACTGAGCAGAAAGTAAAGAGAAATTCTGCATCCTTCCTCCCAACCCCAGTTTGCTACAACTGATGAACCAATATTTATATTAACTAAAGTTTATAGTTTACATTAGGCTTCACTTTTTGTGTTGTACATCCTATGAGTTTTGACAAATATATAATGTCATGTATCTATGCCCTAAGTAGATTTTTAGTTCACTTTTCCACTGGAGATAAGAGTTACAATGGACATGCACAGAAATTGAAAATAAACTCTAAATGAAGCAAAATATATTTTTATAGCAAAAAAAAAGCATTCCTCCAAATATCCTCATGGTTGCACATCCACCTCCCTCCCTTACCTGTTTTGTAAATCAAAGTGTGGCTGGCAATTCAGGGAGCTGTGTTTAAAGACCCAGAGACAGGAAATGTTCCCCGGGGTTGTGAGTAGCACTTGCAGTGTGATGGATGCAGATACATCTACTTCGACCCTGGCCGCCTCGTAGACTGCCTCTGCACTCTCAGGCCTCAAGGCACAGCCAAGGTCTTCCGGGGATTCTGATGCCTGTGAAACATACAAAACAATGTGAACTTACTACAAGTGTATATTTAATGCTGCCTCTTAGTTGAAACATTTTCCAAATACATACATGTTAATGTACTGCACCCATTGAGAACGTATCACTGACTGAAAAATCACATTAATTATAATTCTCTTTTAAAAAGGTAGATAACTTTAGATTGCATTTCTAAAATATTTTACTGGCTGTTATGGGTTGAATTGTGCTATCCCCTGACCCCCGAATTCATATAATGAAGTCCTAACCCCCAGTACCTCCGAATGTGACTTTATTTTTCAATAGTCTTTACAGAAGTGATCAAGTTAAAATGAGGCCATTAGGTGGTCTCTAATCCAATATGCTTGGTATCCTTATAAAAAGAGGAAATTTGGAGAAGACATACATACAGGGAGAATGCCATGTTAATAGGAAGAGGGTCACCTACAGGCCAGGGAGAGAGGCCTGGAACAGTTCCTTCCCTCACAGCCTCAGAAAGAACCAACCCACTGACATCTAGATTTCAGACTTCTAGGCTCCAGAACTATGAAACAATAAATTTCTGTTTTTAAGTCACCCAGCCTGTGATACTTATGACAGCTCTAGCAAATTCATATACAGACAACAATCACAAAATTTGTAATATATAGGTAAATGTTTTTGTATGCAGATACAAATCTACATAGTAAATTGGTATTTGTGTTAGAGGGAATTTAAAAACCAAAATATTTTCTGGGCAGATATTCCCCATAGGCTCATTGCCACCACCACATACCTGGCCTGCTTCAAAAAATGGAAATATATTGAGAGGAGGGTGTGGTAGCAAATTCTAATGTGAGAACCTTCACCTCCTATCTCCTAACATGTAGTATATAGTTAGTGCACACACATGTGTGCAAACACACACACAAAAGCTTCTTCAGGTGAGAAGCAAGGTAGCTCTTCTGTTATTGACCATAAGTCATATTTCTGATTTTATTTGTTCACTTATTCAGTTAGTATCAGATAAGTTCATTTAATCAGTATCTGATAAGTGCTAGACCATCTGCCAGGCACGTTGAATCTAGAAAGAAAAGAAAACTTTATCCTTAAAGTTTTGAGTCTAGTATTAAGAAGTAAGTAAAACTGAAATGAAATGTGACCCATAAAAAGGCAACAATTACTTTGACAGGCAAATTTAAGTGCTCTGGAAATTCAGAGGAGGGACAGGCGACTTCCAAGCTGGGGTGGTAGGCATGCCTCACTGAGTCAGTGGAGTTGGATCTGAAAAGATGGGCATAGGCCTGGCAGGAGTGGCTCACTGGTTGAGTGTCAACCTATGAACCAGGAGGTCACAGTTCAATTCCCAGTCAGGGCACATGCCTGGGTTGCAGGCACCATGCCCAGTGTGGGGTATGGAGGCAGCCAATCAATGTTTCTCTCATCATTGGTGTTCCTATCTCTCTCTCCCTCTCCCTTCCTCTCTGAAATCAATAAAAATATATTTTTAAAAATATATCCTCAGGTGAGGATTAACAACAACAGCAACATATATATTAACAATAACAACTATATTTTTGCTCAGTGGATAGAGCATTGGCCCACAGACTGAAGGGTCCCAGATTCAATTCTGGCCAAGGGCATGTACCTTGGTTGTAGGCTTGATCCTCAGCCCTGGTCAGGATGCATGCAGGAGGCAACCAATTGATGTGTCTCTCTCATATTGATATTTCTCTCTCTGTCTCCCCCCTCCCTTCCACTCTCTCTAAAAATCAATGGAAAAATATCCTTGGGTGAGGATTAACAACAACAACAAAAAAGAAAATGCACATGTATCTGCTCATTTGTACACAAGAAATATAGGAATAGTATCCAAAATCTAAAGGAATTGGTTAAGTTCAGGAGGTAAGTAGGAAAAGAATGGAAACTTGGTAATATTGATGAGAAGGAAGTGATACCTCTCTGAGAATACTTTTAAAATATTTTATTGATTGACTTTAGAGAGAGAGGAAAGGGGGAGAGATAGAGAGAGAGAGAGAGAGAGAGAGAGAGAGCGAAAGGGAAAGAGAGAAACATTGTTTTGTTGTTCCACTTATTTATGCATTCATTGGTATTTCTTGTATGTACCCTAACTGGGGATTGAACCCACAACCTTGGTGTATTGGGACGATGCTCTAACCAACCAAGCTACCTAGCCAGGACTGAGTATACCTTTTTATATTGCTTTGGCTTTTAGGACCATATCATGTTTCATATACTCAAAAAATAAATAATTAAAGCCAACTGGGATATGGGAGAAACTCAAAATGGAATGCAAACCAAATGAACTTAATGTCTAATAATAACATAACCATAGTGAAGGTGGTAGGAAAGTAAAGGACTCAGAAAAATAATACTTTGGATACAATAAGGTTAAAAACAAAAATAATTATAACACAACAACAGCATTCTACTTATTTGTCCTATTTCTCACTGGGATGTGGGCTAAAAATTCTGAAACTACTTTAAGTATATGCTAGAATGGAATACATAGTAAATTGTTATAGATAATGAGAGCCAGGTTTCTTCCTGTCAGAGAGAGAAATACTAATAAGAGGGAAAGTTAGAATGAAACCTTTGGTGCCAAATTAAAATCAGAGTTATCATATTGAACTTACTGTGATGGATGGAGATGATAGATAGATAGATAGATAGATAGATAGATAGATAGATAGATAGATAGATGACAGACAGATGCAGAGATGATAGAGCGCAATAAATATAGTGTGTGTGTGTGTGTGTGTGTGTGTGTGTGTGTGTGTGTGTGTTGGGGGGGGTGGTTAATATACATGCATACATTTCATAGCTTTGCCAGCTGAGAGGGCCTAGAAGCAATGACATCCAGTAGCAATGAGCACATCCAGCTCTCGGATCTTGGTTTCTAAATACTGTTCTCCAAGAAATCAGTGCTCTTTGGAGAAGTGATTAATTCCAGGGCTGAGGTGAGAAAAATACAAGATGAGCGTGAACTACATTATAATACCAAAAAGTAAGTGTTTGAAAAAAGATAGGGACATGTTGAAGGGACACAGGAGCCAATGTGAAGTAGCTCCCAATGCTGGAACCATTTGTAGAACAAAATAAAAATGATAGTTCTGGGTTATAACCCATAGAATCAAATAAATGTCTGTGAGATGAGGCCATACTGATAAATAATTGAATAAATAAAACAGAGAGAAGGGACAGCTCTTCCTCACAGAAGAATGCCAATTAATAAATGTAGAGGGAGTGAGGGAAAAGGAACAATCACCATTAGGCAAACATCACAGTAATAACTGTTGTAGACAAAGTCTGCTAATGGAAGCTAAAATCAGCAGGTGAGAATTGGAGGAGAAAAGGGATATTTGCATCTCCCCCCAAAATATTTGTTAATTACAAAGGAAAAAATAGTAACTTGCAGTGGATAAGCCAGCACACAGCAACTTAATCTTCAAACAGAAATGAAGAATGATGAAAATATTCTGATTTTAAAAACAATTAAGTAGACTGTGGGCATAGTAAAATCATCTTATTTTGGGTCCAGGATACACTGTTAATATAGGTAAGGGCTGTAGAAGCTTATTTACTAGGTTTTCATGGACAAATTTTCTTTACTAGTGAATGCATGGTTATTCAAAACACCCCTGAGTATAAAATTTCCAGAAAGATATCTCATCTGAAAACTGTGAACTGTGGAAGAAATTTAAAAAATCTTTTTCAAAACCTTTTTTAGCCTGGCTGGTGTGGCTCAGTGTTTGAGCATCAACCTATGAACCAGGAGGTCACGGTTTGATTCCTGGTTAGGGCACATGCCCAGGTTGCAGGCTTGATCCCCAGTGTGGGCTGTACAGGAGGCAGCCATCAATGATTCTCATCACTGATGTTTCTAGCTCTCTCTCCTCTGAAATCAATAAAAATATATTTTTTAAAACTTAAAAAAAAAAGCCACAGACACCTTGATAATCCACTTCTCATTGAAGTGGGAAAATACCCAAACACAGCAGCTTCAACTTCAAGGAGATGAAAATGCATGATGAGGAATGCTCACCTTTGCCACAATTAGAAGTCCTACGGTTATTAATTTAATGCTTTTTAAGAACTATTGGATCTTAATATAATCCTGAATATTAATTAAAAATATAATTTATACTACATGAAAAAATAATAATGCAGGACTTAATACTAGGAAACAAAACTAATCATCAATTTTTAAAAAAAATATATTTCATTGATTTTTTACAGAGAGGAAGGGAGAGGGATAGAAAGTTAGAAACATCAATGAGAGAGAAACATCGATCAGCTGCCTCCTGCACACCCCCTACTGGGGATGTGCCCGCAACCAGGGTACATGCCCCTGACTGGAATCGAACCTGGGACCCTTCAGTCCGCAGGCTGATGCTCTATCCACTGAGCCAAACCGGTTAGGGCTAATCATCAATTTTTTAAAGATTGTGTTTTATAAGAAAACACTTAAATGTGTGCAATTATTTTCTTATGTTGAAAAGACACTAAGCCCTGGCTGGGTAGCTCAGTTGGTTAGAGCAGTGGTCTGCAAACTGCGGCTCGCGAGCCACATGCGGCTCTTTGGCCCCTTGAGTGTGGCTCTTCCACAAAATACCGACTTCTGCGCATGGGCCACGAAGTTTCAATCGCACTGTACGTGCGCACCCGCACGTGGTATTTTGTGGAAGAGCCACACTCAAGGGGCCAAAGAGCCGCATGTGGCTCGCGAGCCGCAGTTTGCCGACCACTGGGTTAGAGCATTGTCCCAATATGCCAAGGTTGTGGGTTCGATCCCGGGTCAGGTCACATATGAGAATCAATCAATGAATGCATAATTAAGTGGAACAACAAACCAATGTTTCTCTCTCGCTTTCTCTCTCTCGCTTTCTCTATCTCTCTTTCTCTCTCCCTCTTTCTCTCTCCCCACCTTCCTCTTTTTCTAAAATCAATTTTTAAAAATTTAAAGACACTAAAAGTTCAAAACATTATAGAAATAATATTTAGTTTTTCATCTTCACTGAAATACTATGTATGCAAATATATTATTAATAAGCCAATTTGTTACTATACCAATAGCGATTAACAAATTCAAACCAAACATGCTTCTGGCATTAAAAAATCATGCATTAAATTAGGTGTTATCATTCATGTAGAATGTTGTCATTAAAACTTATTTCATACTGATTTTAAGATTTGAGAATATTTCTAATATCTTTGATTTGGGGGGACACATAGGTTATCATGTCATGTATTTATGTGTTATACCTATGCAAAAGAAAATAGTGACTATATATTGGTATAAATCCTAACTAAAAATGTCCATGAAGTTGGCTAATTTAGGTTTGCTCTTTATTGTACACAGACTTCCAATATTCTCAGTTCACTATTGTTTAAGCTTCCTTTGTTTATGTAAATACCCAGGCTATGTCAGATGAAGGAGAAGAGTAATGAAAACCAAGGTTGAAACCTGAAGGAGTCAGAGCTAGATTATGGAGCAGTTTGCATGTCAGCTTAACTAAGGTCACTGAAGGTCTCAAGGCAGGCAGTAAAGGCTAGAGCTGTGCTTCCGGAAGAATAGTCTGACGGCCCATGTGAGATGAACTGTAGAAGGAAGAAGCTACATAAGGTATTATTGTTGATTTTGATGGAGTTAATGAGGGCTTGAATTAGGGAAGTGACAGTGAGACTAGAGAATCTGAAGTGATTATATGAGAACTAGTCAAGAAAGGAAACTGATGAGACTTGGTACTGAGCACATGTGAAGGCAAAGGAGAGTAAGTACTCCAAAGTGACACCGAGCTTTCAAGCCTGGGAACAAGACAGGGTCATAAACAGAAATCAATTAATACAAGAATGGGAACAGGTTTGAGGAAATAGAACTGGAATTAATTGTGGATAAAATATTAATGAGAAAATGGAAAACATCTATCTATATCCAAAAGGTAGTTAGAAATTGGGGACTCGGGCTTGAGAGAGAAGTCTGGTTGCCCTCTAAGAAGAAAGTGAGATTCCCTTACTTCTTCCTTGAAACTGAACTCAAAGAGAACATGACTCTTAATGGAGTGGAGTGCCAGGTAGCAATGAGTATAGATGCTCATACGCACCATATGTGAGTACATAATATACGTAAAAACATAGAAAAAGTAAGGCCCATATAGCCATAGTAGGTCTCAATAGAAAATATAGCTAAACGTATACTATTAATATTACTTTACCGTGGGATATGATGAAGGTATCCCCACTGATGAATCATTGCTCTTATGATGGATTAAAACACACTTGATCACAGGCAGATCTTGATTTGTAATAGTCTCAAATATCATTGCTGAAAAAACAACTGTAAAACAAAATAAAAACAGTGATATTGATACATGCACATCTTTAAAAGAAAGCACATATTCACCTTGCAACAAAACTACAAAACCAATGTCATCATGGAAAAGTGGCCAGCAGGAAACATAACTTCATAAAGGGTGAGTCTTACTAGAAATCAGGAGCAGTGCTACTTAGAGCAGTGCTGTTCACCAGAATGCTCTGCAGTGATGGAGATATTCTTCCCTGTGCTGTTCCAGATGGTAGTCATTAGCTACATGTGACTATTAAGCATTTGAAATGAGGCTAAGGCAACTACAGAGGTGATTATTGGTATACAAGCCATTTCTTCTTCTATATGGATGGTTGTAGAATCTTCTCTTTGTGCATTAAGACTTTCAAAATTAGGTGATTTTTTGATCTATTTCCATCCATGGTGTTAGATACTCAGTGAGCCTTTTCAAAATTAGGTGATTTTTTGATCATCTATTTCCATCCATGGTGTTAGATACTCAGTGAGCCTTTTCATAGTTTTCTCTGGAGGAGTTTTCTTGAATTATTTCTTTGATTCCTTCTCTCTCTCTTTCACATTCTCTTCTCCTATTATTGAGATGTTTTTCCCAAATGACTGATAATCCTTGATAGTTTGCTCACATATAATATAAGAATGAAGCACAAAATGATCGTGTAAGCTCTGTGCACATGGTTTGACCTGCTGCCTGATCTCCTCTGTATGGTTATCTATAGGTTTTCCCATGGGCTGGTCAGATTCCCCAGAGAGACTTTTCTCTCTCTTGTCTGCTGCCCATATTGTGGGACTGGAGCTGGTGCCCACATCAGGGGTTCTGAAGTGGAAATCAGGTTGCTTCTCAGCTTTCTCTTCCCCACCTTATGACTCAGCTTTCTTCACGTGAGTTAAAGCTCTCAACATTTTATTTTCTGCTTCCTCATTATCTTTTTCCTTATACTTTATGTCTTAATTTTGTTTACTGTCATTTAGTGGACCATTGGTAGACAGGAGGTAAATGTATGTGTTCAGCCACCTTCATACCTAGTAATCTGCTTTAAAATGTCAGTATTGCAGCTATGGGAAGTACATATTAAGACACATTCTCTGGTTTGTTTTATTCTGTCTTTATTATTTCATTATTTGCTAAAGAAGTCACATTATACCAATGCTAATGGAACTAGAAATGAAAATTCACTCTAAATCCCTATATTCTAACAAATAAACCATTTTCATTTCTCTAGAACTTTTGCCATATGTATGT